ACCACACACGTATTATCGATTCTCATCTTCGAACATTAATATCAAAAATTAAAATTACAATTACAATTAAAATTATAATTATAATTAAAATCATAATCCTAATCATAATCATAATCGAATCGATACTTTATAATAACTTGGCGAATAAAATCATTTCAAAATTAATGAGACTGATTTCTCATTCTTAAAACATTTTTCTCCAAATTCTTCCATTCATTTTTCTTCATCTTCACCTCCTTCTTATTCCTCTACTTCTTTTCTTTTTTTATTCGTAAAAAATGTCACAAATATATTTATTTATATATATATGTATATTGCACTATCGTGTTTTCTATCGCGTGTATATCTTTACGTAACCAGTTAACTGTGATCGACGTGTATACTCGTCATGAAGAAGTGTAGCCATTTAAATCGTAATTGTTGAGAAAAACAAAACATATTCTCAAATTTCAAGATGTTTCAAGTGCAACTTACTTTCTGATTGACGAGTATACACGTCATGATTCGATTCTGGTGACACAAAACGGTGTCACAGTTAACTGGTTAAATGTATATAAACGTGTGTGTGTGTGTGTGTGTGAGTGTAAAATGTATTATATTTATATTTATATTTTTTTTTTAACGAATATATAATATATAATATGTATTATATATATATGCGTGTGCATATATATAAATATACATATTCATATACACTTGTGTGTATGTGATATCGTGAGCTCTCGTGAATAAAAGAAAATAATTCCTTTTTATATACAACGAAGCAACTCGCACTTATTTTTTCTCTCTTTCTCTCTCTCTCTCTCTCTCTTTTTTTCTTTCACTTTCTGTTTCACTCTTTCTCATACACCCACACACATACCTACACACTTACTCTCTCTCTCTCTCTCTCTCCCTTTCTCTCATTTTCTCTCTCAAAACAAAATAGGATATTTTGTAGCATAATATCTCGAGACATCGTGTTGCAAAGTTGTCTATCGTGGTTTTTTTTTTTTTAAAAAGGAAGCTGCCTCGAATCATTTTTTGTTTGTTTTATTTTCATTTCATTCGTTCATTCCTTATATTTTTTTTCTTTTTTTTTTTATCTAATTGATATCAGGAAAAGAAATCACGCGTTTATTTAAACCGTGATACTTGTCTGGGTTTCTTATTTTCCACTGGCTCGTTGGTTCTTTTTCATTCCTGGCCCCCATCATCATCATCATCATCGTCATTATTATTGATCATGATATCGTCATGATTTGATTTCTCAGATGGTCTCTGTCCATTTCTATCTTTATTTCTTTCTATTTTAATTTGTATTGTTTGTCTTTTTGTTTTTGTTTTTCTGACGATCGAGTACTCGAGGCGAGCCCTTATTTTTGCCCTTATTTGAGAACTTTTTAGGCCGGTCTAGCACGTCACTGCGAACACAAGAAAAGGCACGAGAGGCCGAGATAAGTTAAATCTCAGTCTCTCCTTTTTTCTCTTTCTCTTTTTGTCTATTCTTAGTCCCTCCTCTTAAAATGTAATTTTCAAAAAGAGGAGAAACGAAGAGAAGACTTTTCAAAACCGGACGATTCTACAATTTTTCTATTTTTTTTTTTTTTTTGAATCTATTGGACAACCACTATTCGAATTTCGCAAGATTAAAGACAACAGGGTGTTAAAAAAATGAAGCTGATGAGAAAAGAAAAATTAAATAAACAAAAGTGACGACGATTATAAAATTTGTGATTTAGAAGAAAAAAAATCATTGAGGGATTGTGGCCAGTCGAATTATTAAATTTGCTTCCTTTGTTTCATTTTTTTTTTATTTTTTCGTTTCACCGCTCTTGTGTGTAAGTGTGCAAGCGTTTTTATTATTATTATTATTATTTGCAACATGGAGAGGAAAATTAGTATTTTGTTTCGTAGCATTCGATAATTCTCGTTAATATATCACCAAACATTAATTGTGCCAATTCCGAACAATAAAACAAACACAGTAAATAAATAAATAAATAAATAAATAAATAAATAAATAAATAAATAAATAAAAAGAACAACCAGGAACTCGTTTTCATCTACTTTCATAAATTCGATCGTTAATACTGATAAAACTGTTTCAAAAGTACGTATTAAAAGATTAAAGTGCACATAAAAAATGAAAGAAAACTTGTTCGTGAACAAATATATACAGTGAGTATAAAAAGTATTCGTACACCGATCAATTTGAAATAAAATCTTGTGAAATTAACTAATTTTGTATAAACAATAAATTTGTACATATTCTTGAGAGTTTCTACAATAGATATAATGAAATAAAAATCATGATTGAGTCAAAAGTTTTTCGTAAATGAAATGAATAGGAAGTAAAGATTGGAGTTCGCCAATAATAACATTAAAAGACCAATGGAGTACTGTAATCGAGTTATTTTTACAGACGAAAGTAAATTTCATATTTTTAGATCAGAAGGACACTGCACTGTATGGAGGAAACAAAATGAAGAATTGAAATCAGAAAACTTGCGATCCACAGTGAAACACGGTGGAGGTTCTGTACTTGTTTGGGATTGCATGAGTGCAACTGGTGTTGGCATGACCATGATACCCTTCATTTTACAAAAAATTACGTACAGTATTAGCAGATATATCAATATTTCAATTATTTTTAAGATGTTTGACTATTTTTATAGCACTTGTCTTTGGATTCTGTTTTATCATTCTTGTGATAACTCGTCCAGTGTTCTGATTAATTTTTCGTGAACGTCCATTTCTTGAGTTATTTTGCAGTTTCTTTCTTAATCCATACCTATCAATGATACTTTGTATAGTAAATCGAGGTCTGTTTTTTAATTCGCGATATTTCTAATAAAGTTTTACATTGATTATGTAAATTAACCCKTTGCACTCGGCAGATTTAAGTGGCAACTCGAGCAGCGCTGATACGGCGCCCGACTGATTTGAAGTCTTTTGTTACTCTATCTGCTTATTTACGATGTTTGATAAAATATTTTTTTTAAGATATACTTAAAGATAATACGAAAAGGGACTGTAAGGTTTGCTCTGATCGTAATACGCCTGGAGGTAGGCAGGAAGAAACATATTATTGTGATACGTGTCTAGGAGATGCATCTTGGGTATTGTTTTATGAAATATTATACAAAAAACTAATTACACAGTATAATATTTCTCAAATTTTGTTGTTTTTGATATAAAAGTAAATAAATTGGTGAAATTTTATTACACTTATATGTAAAATGTTTCCCTAATTTGGCTGAAATCGTCTCGAGTTGCTGGTTAGCACAATTGAAAAAGGCCTTGAGTGTGCAAAAGGTTAATAATAATTTTTCTTAATACGTTTTCGTCCCATTTTCCAACAATAATTTTCAATCTTAAAATATTTTAAGTTCAACTAATACTGATAACGCTTACAAACATACTGACGAAGTCAATTATAACTAAAAAGCAGTCACGTGATGTGTTTACATTATGTTTTATATATAAACTCTTTTGCAAATTGTAGAAACTTTCAAGAATATGTACAAATTCATTGCTTATCAAAAATTAGGTAATTTCACAACATTTTATTTCAAATTGATCGGTATACGAATACTTTCTACACCCACTGTATATGATGGAACCAAAAATAGAGAAATCATGTATTTTAATTGCTTCATTTCGAATCGTTCTTGTCTTTCTTTGAAATTAAAAGTTACTCACTTCAAATTCTGATCTTCTCGCGATTTGATATCTCAAAGTTTTTATTATACGACGAATAAAAAAAATTAGCAAAGTACCATCTGCTACTACTGCTGTTAGTACGGCACAGTTCCACAAAGAGAAACAAGTTAAAAAAAAAAAAAAAAAAAAATAAAATAAAAGAAAATTCGATTACGATGAGAATTGCGACAAAGACCCCGTTCGTTTATTTTACGTACAACACAGAAAGATTTATCGACAAGTAGAGTCAACGAGTATCGTAGATGTTCAATCGACAGAACAATACTACTACTACTATCCCCTTTTCCAGATTTAACTTCCTTTTTCACGAATTTCATGGTCAAACGAGTCAACGTTCGTTTTTGTGACAGTAAGAAAATTACACGTCCCGAAGTAACAAATATTATATTATTACATTTACGTTAACGTTTATATCTTCATTTTATCAAATTCATTTTCATTAAATGAAAAATAAATTCATTAACTATAACATCAAACGCTAACAAAGAAAACGACGGTAAACAAAATTTATAAACAATTAGTATTTCACATTACATTATTCTTCAGATTAATTTCAACGCGATGAGAAACAATAATTAATTATGACAATAATCCTTTCCTATAATTAAAAATAATATTTAAAAAAAATATACAATTTTATTATTGCTTTTAACAACGAAAAAAAAAACACATACCACACACACACACATACATGTATAAGTATGCGAGTCGATTAATAGGCGAGAAAGGGCGGCAGCTCTCGAGAGCATAGCCTAAAAAGTGACTTAGCAAGTCCAATGCATACTAAGCAAGCTTTTCCCGTGCCTCTTAGCCGTGCCGTTTCGCTATCGGTTTCCCTACTCCTTCCTTAAGCCCTTTTGATCGTCTCTTTACAGGGCTTCTAAGATTTTAGTAACGCGTATATAAAAGGCCTACTACTACTACTACTACCCTTGTACTCGCAATATACACATTTACCATGAATGAAGAAAGACACACAACACCCCTCCCCCAATTGATCCCTTTTTAGAGAACTTTCCAACCAGGCTAGCAACAGCATCCCCATTTACTACAACACATACCCATCATACCCATAGCCTTATCCATGTTCACCATAACTTACTAAAATCATCTCTTCTCTTTCTCTCACACACACACACACATTCTCTTTTTAATCACGCAAGCTCTCACACGTTAATAAACTTTCTCTCTTAGCCGATGATTAGTGCAAATACATATTATATAATAAAATAATAACAAGATGCTGCATGCGATGTTAAATTCAAGATGGAAATGATTAATAATAATATTAAATTGGTGCATATAAAATGTCGTTTTTTTATTTTACATGCAAAACATAACCTCTTTTATAGTCGTACTGTTCATTGCCAGAGTAACATTTTAACATAGGAGATTTTCTAAGAAGTGTTTCCTTTTGTTATTTCTTTGGAATTTTCTACCGAAATTCGTGTCATTTTCTTGTATGAGTATAAACTTGATAATAATGCTGCAAAAGCTGCATGAAACATAAACATGGCATTCAGGAAAAATACTGTTAACAATCAAAAAGTGCAGCGTTGGTTTGAAAAATTTCGGTCTGGTGGAGGAAGACCCAAAACGACCGTGTAAAATGATGATCTGAAGGCATTGGTGGAAACAAATCCAACTGTACTAGCTATCAAGATGAAAGTTGACCATACAACGATATTGCGACACCTTTCTGAAATTGGCAAGGTGAACAAAATGGATAAATGGGTGCCACACGAACTAACCGAGCTAAACAAGCTGGATTGGTTAAACGTATGCTCATCACTACTAACCCGATTTCATTGAGAGCCATTTTACGATCGGATTATTACTTGTGATGAAAAATGGGTTCTTTACGACAACAGAAAAAGGTGTGCTCGGTGGCTTGATAGAGATGAGGCTTGTGCTCATACTCCAAGGCCATCATCACTTCATTCACAGAAGATTTGAATCACAGTTTGGTGGAATGTGACTAGTATACTAGTTCATTACTCGTTCCTTTGAGTAAGAGAGACAATTACTCAGAAAAGTACTGCCAGTGCATTGATGAGATGCATGAAAAGTTAAAAATGAAACCCTCATCACTTGCTAATCGACATGACAATGCTCAGCCACATTTATCGCAATTGCAAAATTAAATGAATTGAAATATGAAGTTTTGCAGCAACCAGCTTATTTTATGAAACATTTGGAACTGTTTATACGGACTAAACAATATGAAAATGAAGACAGACCAATTTATGTTGGGAAAAGTGTATTGAAACGAATTGAGCATATTTTGATTAAATAAACAGCTTTTGTAAAAAGATATATACATATTCACTTAAAAATCTGACATTTTATACGCACCAACCGAATATTTTACAAATTCTTTTATTTACTAACTACTTAGCAAAACAAATCTACTTACAAGTAAAAAAAACACACAAAATAATATGAAATAATAGGTAGAAGATATTTATATAAAGTATATAGACAACAAAATAGAGAGTATATATATATATATATGTATGATAGATGTAGGGAAAAAAAAGAGATAGAAACAATGAACGCATGCTTGACGAGTGCGTGGGATCGTATGAAGCCAGAGCTGACGAATGACCACAATCTACGTATAATTTTATCCTCATTTGTCTATTTTTTTTTTCTTTTTCTCGCTCTCACTCGTCACACAGATACACACACACAATCGCGCACACACTCACTCACGCATTTACTCGCGCATTCGTTCTGATCGTTCTGTTTCTTTCTCTCTCTATCAGTCGTTCGCATTGAGGGTTAGTTTTTTTTTTTTTTATTGGGTATTGTATATAAATAACAATTAATTAATTTATTTATTAATTAAATGTATTATATAGAAATGTAGATGTGACCACGTTGACTGTCACGTTAGTTTATCCAGTTACAGATTCTATCATATTTTTCTTTTAACATTAAACTTGCAATGACCGGTTGTAAAATTTATCAAAATAGTTCACATTATAACAATAAAATCATTTTGATTCGTTGTAGTGAGAAATAAGTGTGCATAAAGCATCCGTACGTTTAGTGTTAACAAAACAAACAAATAAAAAAAAATCAAATGCGACAATCAACGTGTTGATCTTGAATTGAAAATTAAAAAAAAAAAAAAAGAAAAAAAAACAAAGAAGTATAAATGAAAATGATAGTAGAAAAGGGGGTTTTAAAAAATTTAGTAAAACTGATTTACCTGGTGCATAGGGTCGTAACCCATGGAACCGTCATTGTAAGGTTGCGAGCCATAATCACTTCCATTTATTCCCATACCGTATCCCGCCATATCCTGAGGTCCACCAGGTGGTGCAGGTGACATCATTGGCGTTGGTGTACCCTGGCTGGCACCACCCATACTGTACGGCGACGCTCCTGCAAAAGCTGCTGTAGAAACAATCGCGGTGCATACAAAATTCGAGGGTGCTACTATAAGTTCTTTAAATATCAAACATAGCCTTTTTTTTTTTTGCATTTTCTTTTTATTTATTGTGTGCTTTATTTTCATTTATTTCTTTCTATATTTTTAACAATAATAATAATAAAAAAATAATAAAAAATAATAATAAAAAATAATAAATAAAATAAATAATCCTCGATCGTTTAAAAAACAAAAATATAAAAAAAGAAACTGGCGCCGTTTTAAATAACCGAATAAATATCCCATTGATTTATTTTATGCTCGATATATACGTGAAAGCTTTTAATTGATTTCAACTGGTTTTAACTGTGTTTCTTCTATATTTTTTATTTCTGTTGTTATTTATTTTATTTTATTTTATTTTACGTCAACGCCGTCGGTTAAATTCCGCGTACATGTTTTCAGTGTATGTACGTAATGCAATATCTCACATACAGACAATGCTTTAGTTATACATTTATAAATTTTTTTAATTTTTTATTCGAATGAAAAAACCTGATAGCGAGATTGCATTAAAATAAAAAAATTGTAGAGAAAAAAGGGAGAAGTTTGTACGTAAGTGCATATACAGGAAGAGTTCACGTAACACTGGACACACATTTATTTCAACAAAAAAAAAAAACTAATGTAAACGATTCAAAAAAGGATGAAAGGGGTGCGGGGTCATACGATTCAGTTTATCAGTGACGCTCAAGGAAACATCAGGAGCGGACAATTTCTGTTTTCTGCAGAAAAACACTGCATTGTCTAAGATTCAGGTAAATGTTACAGCTACATGTCTGTGCTTAAGTCTTTATGGTATTTGTCCATTTATAAAGGGTTCCATTATTATTCGTTATATATGAATGTTTCTGTTATTTTTCAAAACATATTAGGTATAGATCACGTAATGGTGGTATTATCCTTTTCCCTAGTACTGGACAAAAATAGTCCCTTAACGCTGGACAGTGAAAACTGCATTGAAAATATCAAGAGAAAAGCACGAGCAACAAACCAAAGGAGTAAAAGATAAGGGAAAAAGTGGAGATAGAGATAAGAAAAAACAGCTACTGACTGAGATATCAGAAATTGAAAGAACTACTTGCGTAGTGTGTTTAGTGGACTACGACGAAGACTGGATACAGTGTTCCAACTGCCATGGGTGGGCTCATGAAGCATGTGCAGACATTCCTAAATGTTTAGACGTCTACATAAGTAGATCGTGATCAATGCTGGATGATTTAAAAATTTTCGGTGCTAGTTGTTCGAAGTGAAATCTGTCCGGTACTATGTGACACTTCCAGCGATTGTATATTTTAACACCAAAGTTTAATTCTTATTTTTAAATATATTTATACAGAAGTTGTATTTTTGTTAATGTTATGTTGACTTCATTAATTAATAAATAAAGTTACATTTTTCGAAATAGTTTTTATTTTATTCCCGAAATACCTTTTGTGTTTCCCCCTATATATTTGTACGCGTGTGTGTGTACGTGTATACCGGGACATGCAATTAATTCTTATCCGTTACGAATCCGATCAAAAGGGGCGAGGCCTTTGAGATATTTGTGGCTGACGGGACACGAACTCCCCTCCCCTACCTTTCCCTTCCTTTCCTTTTCCGCCTCCACCCATCTACACAACACTTAAAGGTCATAGTTTCACTACTAGAATTTAGTTCCTTTAATTACGAGACTACTGTTTGAAAAAGGTAGAAGAAGTAAAGTAAAGTAAAGTAAAGTTGAGAAGAAGAACGTGAGCTGTAAAATAAAAAAAAACAAACACTGTAAAAATGGAAATCTTCCCATTGTTCCTCGTGTCGTATTCTTTTTCTCTCATTCTCTCTATCTAATTTTCTTTCTTCGTATAATTAGTAATTTAAAAAATATCTCAGAACGGTGTGTGTGTATGTCTGTAAAAATAAAGAAACGCGTTTGCAGTTAGCTAAGGGTATGGATACCGACGTAATAAAAATTACACTAGGACCCTCGTGAATGCGAAGAATTTCTCAGAAAAGTCCAACACCTTGAAAAATTTTCCTCACCAATTATTCTATAAAAGTATGAGAGAAGTATACACATACTTACTTACATACATACATATATATCTACTCGCGAGAACGGGACAAAGACAACGTGTGTGTTGGAGTTTTGTGTAAAAGAATTTACTCCCAGTGAGGAAAAATGAAGAACAACCGAGAGGAAAAGAAAAAATAAACTAACGACGAGACTTCATACGCGTGAATGTGTGTATGTGTGTGTGTGTGTGTGTGTATGTGTGTGTGTCTTTGCAGGTAACACTCTCTCTGGCTTAGAAAATTTATGTCGAAGTGTTAATACCTTCACGTAGTAACTTACCTGGCATTGCTTTAATGATTTACGGTAATTAGTAACCATCACGGTTAAACGAGTTCTTCCGCGTTCTAATTTCGTTCGTAGGACGAAAATAACGAACAAGTTATGAAAGAACACGAGTCGTTTAAAAAAGCAACGTGAGAATTTAAGTAACAACGTAAGCTATGTGTGTCCAATATTTTATTCTTTTTTTTTTCTTCTTTTAAAAACAAACAAAATTATTCTTACGTACATCTTTTCCCTATTTTTCTTTTTCTTTTTTTTTTCTTTTTTGCTTGATTTAATTAATATTATAATCAAATGTCAAATGATAATTTAAACAAGAAGCACCCAATACGCGTATAATGTTTTTTTTTTCTGTGTTATATAAAGTCATGTAAAAGTGTTGCAAAATTATCAACAATAGTAGCTATTTTTTTTGATAAAATTATAAAAAAATGAAAGGAACTCTTTAAGGAACACCCGTTGCTCATTCGCGAAGGACGGAACTTACCAGCTGCCTTTTTGGCTGCGTACAAGTTCGCCTCCTCCTGCGCTTTACCTATGTTTTTCTTGTAGCGTATCCTCTTGTTGCCGAACCAATTGGAAACCTAAATAAACAAATTATATACAGTTTTTCTATTAATTTCTATAAACAATGTATTATGTCATTTTGTAATATTGTAGATTGTATCCTTCGAAAAGTAACCATTTTATTATTCACGATGATGTGTTTATCGTCAATGGTCTAATAACTTTTCATTTATCCTGTACAATGAAACAAATTTTAATATATATTAATATAACGAAATGAATATATATTTCTGACTTTACCTGACTCACGGTGATTCCACATTTCCGTGCGAGTTCCTCTTTGGCCTCCTCGCTCGGATATGGATTACTCAGGTGCGAATAGAAATACTCGTTTAAGATTTCAGAAGCCTGTTTACTAAAGTTCCGTCTCTTACGCCTGCGAACAAGTCACAACGAAAAAAAAAACACACTTTTTCCACCATCAGTTTCTTTTTTATAATTCGATAAAATATATCAGTTGTTTTTTTTCTTCTATTGACAATTAATTTGATTACAAATAAAAAAAATTGATAAAACGATGAACGTACCTTGCATCGAGGAAACGACTCCTTAAAATCATAACTGCTTCGCAAGTAGATTGTTTCAATTGCATTTGAATACTTGAAAATTTCTTGTGAATAATCTGAACCATTCTTTCAATTTCCTTTGGCGTTATTGGCCTGGTACGACTCTGTTCCCTCAACAAATTCATCACGTGAGTCGTAAACTCGTTGCATGCCTAAAACAATTCAATTATTTCACATTTATTTTATTTATTATACGTATTAATATACAATTATTTTTCTTTTTATATTTTGTATTTGTCTTTGAAACAATAAACAGTTAACTGTGATTGACGTGTATACTCGTCATGGATAAGTGGCACGATTTTGTATATTGACGAGTATACTCGTCATGCGTATAAAATAGTGACCCATTGGCTATTTAACCTCTTAGACACTACTCGCAACTATAGTGGCTTTCGTGGATGATATCTTTTAAAATATATCATACCTAATTGTATTATTAATTATTAACCCTTTTCGCTACGGGCGACTTCTCCGCCATGGTAGTTCCGCTGAACGTGCCGCTGCGCCAAAAATGTGCCCGGTGCTCAGTAAAATCGACAGCGTCCGCGTTTATGCATAGCGATTAAAGCCGCCCGTAGTATCTGAGTGGCATTTTATGTAGAACGACTTCAGTCGCTCGTAGTACGTCAATGACATTTTATGGAGAGCGACTATAGTCGCCCGTAGTGGCAAAAGGGTTAAAGTAAATTGTTAAAGTTAAAGTATATGCAATATATTTTAAAGAAAAATTATAATATATTTAATCATTAAATACTTTATTTTAATGTACTCGCGTAGAGAACGGCATTGTCTCTTGAATCCTGCTGTACAGAGAAACAGCTTCGCGCAAAATTTAGCAGTACCTAAGATGTTAAATTGTAATTTTTGAGAAAAGCAAAACATATTCTCAAATTTCAAGATGTTCAGAATATTTTGAGCCATACCGAAATAAAACAAACAAAAAACTACTAATAATTTGATATGAACTCTTGCGTCCTCGTATACACCGGCTGAAACAGCTTAACAGTTCGCATAACGAATTGATTTATGTGTGATGATAACGTTTTTTAGATGTTAGCCTAAAAGGGGCAAAGGTAATAGTCAGAAAGTTGATTTATAATAGGATCCCGTCAAGTATGAGAGAAATGCATGACACCGACCAGGCGCTGAGCCTATTGATAGCTACAGGTCCGAAGTTACCTGGCTATCGAGTGGTGTAAATGCCAATTGTTTGATATTAGAATCATGTGCTGACATTAGAGTAATGCCCCAATACCGTGCTGCCTAAAGAACAGTTATTTTATTGGGGTGGGAAAGGCTAGGATGCTTTCTGGTAAGAGGACTGTGATCAACCCTACAGCAGCTACTCCAGAGCTTCCTTAATGTAAAGACAGGTAGAAAACATTTCGTCAGAAGGAAAGAAATACATTTGAAGACATTTTTGCGACGTATCCAATTCAAAGAGAAAAATCGACACAAACTCGGCCTAATGTAGCCTTGAGTAATGTAGCCTTAGACCTAATGTAAGCCTATTAGGCGGGAATCATGTTTCGGATTATATACCAGGAACTTCGAAAATAAACAACCCTACGGGAAGGTGTTCACATTGCTATAAACGTAAGATCAGGAAGGAATCGCGTTACTGGTGTTCCATTTGCAAAGCCCCATTGTGTATTGTACCCTGTTTCGCTGAACACCTTTTCGCAGCAGGAATTTTAATTCTTGCTTTTATATGTCAATTTTATAAAACAAACCCATCAATTTGATCCAATATTTTAACAGCGCAAATTACTCTGTGATTGACGAGTATACTCGTCATGACTCGACATGGTGCCACAGTTAACTGGTTACGAATATCGTTAACCCTTTCGCTACGGGCGTGTTTTTAGCGGTTCTACTCCAACTGTACGGGCTACTAATACATGCAACATCGAAATTGCACCTTATTTTTGAGTAATTTTATTGCTGATATTAACACATTGTACGCCGGCCCCGCGAAAACGCGGGTTTCTGAGACTGTCGCTTGAGCGCCGGCCCCGCGAAACCGCGGGTTAATGAGTTTGTCGCTTGAGTAGCTGCCCCACGATGGCGCTTAGGCTTTAAATATCTCTTAGGTCGCCGGCGTACAATGTGTTAATGATTTTAAATTAAAAGAAACAAAACACTAAAATTACACGTTCAGATATCTCATAATGAGATATTTGGTCTGCTATAACTGCATATATTCGTCGTATGTAAAATAAGCAGCATTTAATGGAGGGCCACTATAGTAGTAGTCCTTAGTACCTCAGTGGCATCTTATTACGGGCCATTATAGTGGCTCGTAATAACGAAAGGATTAGAAAAGAAAAAAAGAAACAAAGCAGTGGATGTAAGTAAGTTCAACCTAAGACCCAAAACCTTATCTCGAAGAGATCAAGGATTTCGTTGAGGTATCACGAAGAAAACAGAAGATGAAAAGAGTCTGACAAAAAAAAAAAAAAAAGACACACGCGTAAAATGAATTATTCCTCGTGGTTGCTACCCCGGTTTAAGAGAAGAAGAAAAAAAAAAGGACTTTGCTCGAGCGTATCAGT